TATAACAGATCTGTTATGAATGTGTTGGTTAGTGTAATTAATGGCAATTACAATAAACCAATGTTAATTTCTATGCAATATATTAATGATAAATCATCAGTTGGCGTTATTAATGGACTCAAATCTGCACTTAACAACATATGGCCAAATACAAATGTTTTTGAAAATGTTTACTTATGTGTTACAGATCAGGGAAGCGCAATGATAAAAGCGATGAAAGATAGTAAAGTTATGTTACCAAATGCTATGCATGTGACTTGTTTAACACATGCTTTATTTAGAATCTGTGAAAAAGTGAGAGAAAATCATTTATTAGTTGATACGTTTGTATCTAAAATGAATAAATATTTTAAAAATTCTCCAAAAAGAATCGACTTATTTAAGTCTAAATGCAATTTAAGTTTACCGCCAAAAAGCGTAATAACTCGTTGGAATAGTTGGATCAACACTTGTGTATATTATAATACTAACTTTGAAATAATTTGTAATTTTATTAAATCATTAGATTTGATAAAAATGTCAAATAAAATAATAAATGAATTGCAAGAATTGGTTATTAATCCTAAATTAAAAAGTCAATTACAGAGTGTTTCATCATTTGAACACATTTGTAAAAAAATTACATTTTTGGAAAAACAAGAATTGACAATTAAACAGCAAATAGACGTCATTAATGAATTGGAATCTACATTAACATCTGATTATTTAAAAAAACTTCAAAGTTCTCTTAAAAAAAATCCTAGTATTAAATATTTTAAAGAAAATACAATGAATATTGAAAATAAGTTTGTATCACTAACTAATGTTGACTGTGAAAGGTCATTTTCAATATTTCATAATATTCATCGAGATAATCGTACATTTCTTGATAGTAATTTAGAAATGTTTTTACTTGTAAATTATAATAGTTTTTTATTTTAATAAAATTTTTTAAACCGACAAAATTTATTTGTTAATCTTTATATGTAGAAATGTAGAAATTTTTTTGCAGAAATTTTAAGGCTCTACCAACCATACAAACACATACATACAGATCACACACACAGGTATCTCATATATGTGATACACATATTTGAATAAAGGTTTTATATATTATAAGTATATGTATAATAAAATTTTTGTTATAAAAAACTTATTATATATGCTATGCCTCTCTCTCTCTCTCTCTCTGTGTGTGTGTGTGTGTGTGTGTGTGTTTAAATTTAGTATGAAAATGTTTAACACCATTGAACGGTTAGATTATATTTATATTATTATATGTGTTTGAAGAGAGAGAGAGAGAGAGAGAGAGAGAGAGAGAGAGAGAGAGAGAGATAGACTAACTATAACTTATGATTAATCACTCACTGCTTGTCGGAGATTATATACCATTGAGCTTCAAATGTATGGCTCAATAATAATAATAATAATACTTCAATGTGTGTGTGTGTGTGTGTGTAAAGTGTAAGACAAGATTATAACGATATATCTGGCGATGCTTTGGCACATCTCTCTCTCTCTCTCTCTCTCTCTCTCTCTTTCTCACACACACTCGGGCACAGGTATGTTGGTATATACTGTATATGTTGGTGTATGTGTGTGTTATATAATGCCAGTGCAATATATTATACTCTTAGATCAATTTTTTTATAATAATAAATAATTTTTCTCTCTCTCTCTCTCTCTCTGTGTGTGCTGATATACCCCAAAAAACTTTCGTTAACTGCTTGGGTGGCCCTCCAGGCCTTCCACACACACACACACACACACACACACACACACACATGGAAATACTGGTGCAAAATCTAGCAGTCCATTAGGGAGTCCATACACACACATAGCTGGTATACAACAGTATTATATGGTGTGTGAGAATGAGTAATGTGAATATATATACATATTATATATATACTATGGTATGGATAGGGATAGGGATACCAGTGCTTGATTGCTCTCCTCTCACATATCACACACACACACACACATGCGGTTCGCCAAACCATTCAATATAATCACCAGAAAAATAAAAATGTTAGCCCTTTTTTTCGCCTGGTGCCGGCATTTGATTTTTGGTGTGCACCCCCTGCCCCTTCCCCCCCCCAAAAAAAATACTGTATATAAAATTATTATGCAATACCAGCCAGTGATCTGTTTTAAGGGCATCGCAATCATCATTATCACCATCATTGATATGTTATATATATCTATTTATATATATATAATAAATAGGGGACGACCCATGCATTTCTAATACCTGTACGCACCCGGCATTAATATACTGTATATATATATATATATAAAGAGAGAAAGAGAGAGAGAGAGAGAGAGAGAGAGAGAGAGACATAATTAATAGATATCATTGTCAGATGAGATGTTTTTTTAATGAATGATTGCAAAGTCGATGAAATATTCACAGTTTGGCTGCAATTAAGCCCTAAATAAAAAAAATTAGCTAAACTACCGGTTCATACAGTATATTGATATATATATATATATATATATATATATATATATATATATATATATATTATAATATATATACCTATGCCATGATTTGTTGCTATTTATTAGTAGTTCACTGATAGTTAGTTAGTTTTTTAACACATACATAAAATTTTGTTATTATTATTAATGTTGTTGTTGTTGTCTATGATGTTTAATGTTTTAATGTTATTTTTTTGTTGTTGAAATAAAAATTAGTAAAATTTTAATCACACACACATTGATATCAAAATAATTTTGTTAAATAATATAATTAAGTTTTCGGTGCCAATTAAATTAGAGAGAGAGAGAGAGAGAGAGAGAGAGAGAGAGAGAGAGAAAAGTTCAATTTAAATAATATCATTAATTTATATATATATATATATCAAAAGCGGTAAATATATTATAATGCAATTTATAAATCAATCACTATTACTGTATATATACTGTATATATATATATATATATAAATATTTTGTTTATTATTGACCAGGCTATTTATTATTATTATTATTTAGTTTTATTATTATTTATTATAAACTATTAAATTATATATTTAACTAATTATTTTTTTGTATAAAATCTTAGTTTTTTATTATTATTTTTTTTTTGTTAGTTATTATATAGTTTTAATATATATATATATAAAATAGTTCTAATAATAATAATAATAATAATAATAATAAATAATAATTGACAAACAATTTTCATTAATTAAATCATTTTCATAAACAATTAAAATAAATATATTTTATGTAAATTATTTATACAAAAATTTTTTTTACAAAAAAAAATCATAATATACTTTTAATTATATAAATTGCTTTAAGTAAAAAAAAATATTCAAGGTAATAATACTATTACTAATAATAATTATAATAATAGTATTGATATATGACAATATGTTAAATAATGTCCCCTCTCCAATTAAATAGAAATTAATTATAATTTATTATATTGTATATTAAATATAAATACTAATAAAAAAAATAATACTGCATTTAAGTTGATAAATGACAACACAAATTGACAATAAAAATTAATTTATTATTTATTTAAATTATATATATATAATATTTGACAAATTTTTTTTATATGAATTTATATGTATATTACTACAGTATATTACCAAGGTTAGTGTATAGTTTTTTTTTAAAAAAAATAATAATAATAATAAATAATAATTTTTAAGTTTTAAGCTATATATAAAACAATAAGTGTTAGTGTTAGCAAGTTAGTTTTATATATATATATATGTGTGTGTGTGTATATGTGTGAATGTATGTGTGAATGTGTGTATGTATGTGTGTGTGTGTGTGTGTAAAAATATGTGTGCAGTTTTTAAAAATTTTTTTTTAATGGTGACAATTAGTTGCTATGTCTTCGACTGTAATATACAACTTTCCTTTACCTCCCCCTCCTCAACACCACACACACACACACACACACACACACACACACACATTGGGCTGTCCTATCATTGTCGACGTCGATGACATCGACAGCATAGTTAGCACTGTTTAACTGTTGAGGGAACTGCTGCTGCTGTTGTTGTTGTTGCGGCACTGGTATGTATATGTATGTGTGTGTGCTATTCGTAGGCCACTCCCCGCCGATTGCCGGGCCTACCACCGCAACAGCCCTGTGTGTGTGTGTATGTATGTGTGCGCGCACTGACTATTAAACTACTAAAAGACACGACTCCTCTCTCTCGCTGCCGGATCGCTAAAACCACAACACATATCCTACAGCACAGACACTGTAGAGTAAACTGACTGTTGAGTGAAGTCTATAGCGGGCTCAGAGAGCTAGAGATAGACTACTTGACTTGACTTTTAAAAAGTTTTAGGGATCAACACTACACCAACCAACCAACCAACCAGTAATATATATATATTGAGCTGTTGTGTAGTCAGTCCTAACTGTGTGTGTGTGTGTGTGTGAAACTAGCCGTCACTTAATTATTATTATTGACATATCATCGGTGAATCCATAATTATTATTATTGTTCAATCAGTTATTATATTAATATATATATATATATATATAAGTATACCGTCACCTCTCTCTATATATACCTCTCACTCAGTTAAACACAGTAACTGTATGTTTGAAATCAATTTGTTTGAACTAATAAGTGTTTAATAAGTTATTTAAAAAAAAAGTTTTATTAGTTTTGTGTATGCATTTTAAAAAATATATATATGAAAATGTACTACTAATATGAATCGCCCGGTGCTCAACATCATCATCATTGCCGACTACGACAACACCAACGACGGCTTCTCTATGTGTACATAACGAAACAGTATAGTCATATGATATATTGTATACTAGTATATACAACATCAAGCACCCGATCATTTTTGGTGTCGTTATAGTAGTAGTAGTATATCACTGATTGATTGATTGGACTTGACTCTACTATCCCCCCCACCCACTGTATGTGTCATAGACTTTGACCTACCGGTTCGTGTGTGTGCGGGTAGTGTCATATAATTGTTTAATATATAAATATATATATTTAAATGCAAGACACGCGCAAAACTATGGCCATCGGTTCGCCAACAGTTGCAACTTCTCGTCCCCAGACAAGGCCTTCGACCAACTTTTCCATCGATGCCATTATGGGCCGTACGGCTGCGGTCAACACTACCGCCGCCACAAACGATAATAGTGACCATCGGCGGCGGCCATCACCTCAATTGGCTACCACTGCCGAGGGCTGTGCGGTGTTGTCGTCGTCGCCAAACAATATCAGTCCTAAACTATTAAATAGAGGTAACTATTGTTTTGTTTGTTTAGTTGTTTTTTGGGTATCTTATTGTGTTATAGACTTGTAATTACTTTATCTAAAAAAAAAATTGTTTTATAAAAATATTGCAATTAAAAAAAAACATTAATTTTTCCCTTTAAAATAATAATTCAATTGTTTTTAACTATTATCATCAAACATATATATATATATATACAGTATATAAACTAATAATTATATGATAATAAATTTTATCACATATATGTTAAAATTCAATAATACATATATATATTTATACTAATATCATATTTTACAATTATTTAGCTGTTTGTTTGATTTTTGATACTAACTAATAATAATAATAATTAAATTATAGATTATATTATTTACAATACAAGTGCTGACATTAATATCAAAGTAGTAGTAGTAGTTTGTATATGTTTTTATATATGATAACTACTAAATATAATATATATATATATATGATATGTATATAATTAGTTGATATATATATATATATGTTTGTTATTGAAAAAAATATACACAATTTAGAAATCATGTATTTTCTATAATGCATTGACTTTTTTTAAATATATAATATTATAATAGTATCGATATATTTATAAGTTTGATATAAAATTTTGTTTAAAATTTTTTTAAAAAAATAGTTTTGTAATTTAATTATTGAAAAATTTATGACTCATCATCATTGCCAACGTGTTTATACACATTTAATCATATTATATATATAAAAAAATTTATATATATATATACTGTATATTTGTTACATTATATACTGTATGATAATCTTGAAAGATGATTTAAATTACATTAAATTTAAAAAAAAAAATAAATTTGTTAATTGAAAATGACTATTGAAAAAAATATATATAATTTGTTAAACAAAAAAAAATTAGTTCAAAGTTATTAGCAATTATTATGATTATTATTATTAAAAAAAAAATTATGATTAAAAACCTAATCGCGCCATAAATATATATATCATTTATTTTTATTATTTTAAATATATTTAATAAAACGTGTCACACATACACACACACACACACACACACACACACACACACACTTTAAACTAAAAAATTACAAATTTTATCTGCAAAAAAATAAATAAATAAAAATATAATTAATAATTATTATTATTACTACAAATTAATGCATATATTTAGCAAAAATAAAAACTTTTAAGACAGTCATATCATATGACTGACTGACTATACAAATCAATGCATGCGATGATAATCTTTTAGTCCCTATATATATATATATATACTGTATATATAAATATGTTTTATTTGACTAATACTTATTATAAATTATATCTAATACTGTAAATATCTATACATTTATATATATATATATATATATATATATATAGGTATATATACTGTATATTTAATATTTTAAAATGCAAATATTTATTAACACCTAGGTGTGTGTGTGATAAATCCTTATTATTAATAATACTATATATATTTATATAAATAAATACCTGGCTGAATATTTGATAATACTAATATATGTAATATACAAATAACATGCATTATATTGATAATAAAATAATATATAGTTATATGCAATGCATAATAAAATTAATTATCAATTTATAAATGAATATATCTTTTTAAGGGAAAATTGGTTGAAAATGATATGATTTAATAATAATAACAATAATAATAAATTACTATTGACTTTAACAATAGTTATATATATATATATATATTAGATTATATTTAAACCTATATTATTTTTTATGCATTCAAATAGCATCTCAACAACAATTGTCACCAATAAATGATGAGTTATTATCGCCGACGACAACAATAATAAAATCCGAGTATAATATAGGAAACTATCCGCGGGTTGACTCCAATTCACCGCCGCTATCGCCCGGTTCTGAATACGGAAGCGGCGGCGGCGGCAATGAGGTGGTCAACCATCATCATCATCATCATCATCATAACCATCAGACTATACTCCATAGGCCTCCATCGTCGTCATCATCGATAAGTGAAAGCCGGTGCTCAATAGCCAACTCAATAGATAGGCCGCAGTCGTCAAAGTCGTCGTGTAGGTCGCCATCGCCGTCACCATCGCAGGCATCCGGCGACGATAATACCACTACCAGTAGCAGTGGTGGTGGCGGTGGTGGTGGGAAAGGTAGCTCCAAATCCGAAAACAATCCCTACAGTGAACTATTGAAAGGCCGATGCAATTGCCCGGAACTCGACCGAGTCGATTGCCGACTAGAAAATAAGGACCTATGGGACAGATTTTTCGAGTTAGGGACCGAAATGATTATCACCAAAACTGGAAGGTATGGTTTGATTTAGGATTTATACTTTAGATTTATTATATATATATAATAGTTTTTTTTGTAACACCAGAAAGGGTTGCACCAAAAATAGGGTTATATAATAGATATACATGTTTAGCATTGCTATGCAAACTATATATATACTATGCGCGCATATATGCTATACGATGCTTATCGTTGTGTATATATATAAAAAAAAATTTAAATGTATTTAACAAAAATCAAAAATTTATTTTATCTGTATATCAATATATATCATAAATAATATAATGATTGGATGTCGAGATTTTACACCAATTGTGTCACAATAGTCTATATATGTATACTGCAATACAATGCTATTTGTTATATATATATAGTGCCAATAAAACGCTATAACCGGTCAAACAGTGTATATATGTATGTATTTTTTTTGTTGCTAACAACACTACTATTGTGTGACAAACTATGTGAAGTCAACTGTCTTCAATTGTTTAGTGGAAAGGGATGGTGTTTTGTCACACTATTGTTCTCGTTATACATACATATATATATATATATATATATATATATATACAATGTTTATGTCATTGAACACACATATCCAGTCAGCCCTCCTCCCCAAGTATAGTATACAACACACCACTTCATATTATTATTATTATTATTATTTATATATATTATAAAGTGGAGCCCTATTGTTGTCACTATTTCTCWCTCTCTCTCTCTCTCTCTCTCTCTCTCTCTCACTCGAGAGACTCCAGAGAGAGAGAGAGAGACCATTGAAAATGAACAGTCGTTTTATTTAGTATTTTTACGAAAAGTCAATTGAATTGAATGGTTGATAATAGTTTGGGTAACAATTGGGGTCTTCAAGTGGAGTGACTATATCACTCGCACCCATCACTTAGGCTATTGATACAGTTTTGTATATATATATATACTACTCTATACTACTATTTTTACTACTACTACTAGTAGTAGTAGACTAAGTGGAAACATGTAGTGCACTGGTAGTCAATAAGCCTTGTTTACATTCATTGTATTGTATCCATTGAATCCCGAGTAGTATATATCGGAGGGCTTGCAAAAAGTTTTGCTTCATTAGTCCATCTATTGTCAGCCCTTGTCGTCGTATTTTTCGCCATATTTTTTCCTAATGGCAAACAATTTCTGCCCATTTATCTCATATATATATATATATATATGATATTCAATGTCCTCACACATAACTAGTACTACAACTACTACTACTCCGACTACTATTCACCGATTCAACACTTGTATTGGTGATGAAGTCCGGGGCCACCAATCATATGGATGTATGTGTGATACACACACACACACACACACACACACAGTGTAGAGCACAGTCAGAAAGTCAATTGGCATACATAGGCCTAAAGAGAGATTTTTGTAGTCATTTTTTTGTGTGTGTGTTGTTGGCAGTCATTTCCCATAATAATAATAATAATAATAATACTTATAATGTACTAAACGTTTATACGCTTATAATGAATGAATGAATGCACAGTATGTCACACATTAGCTGAGACATGTTATAGAGAGAGAGAGAGAGAGAGAGAGAGAGAGAGAGAGAGAGAGAGAGAGATGGTAACTATTTTTAGTCGACTATTTGACTATACTGTATGTATATACATCCCGGTGCTCATAAAAGTCACTGATTCACTACTACTACTACTACTCCCGGGCTGATTGTGTCGGTCGGTCGGTCCATCTGTTCCTCTCTATTACCAAACTGGTGCTCAACAGTAGATCCCATACACACTGTTTGGTAGTATAGCTTATATATAAGTTATACCATTTAAAATATAGCACTATATCTACAGTATATATAACTATATATTTTTTGACTCATTTTTAGTTCATTCATATCTCTCAATGCTTTTCCTTATGATGATGAGAGAGAGATAGAGATGCTGATGATCCCTAAGCTCTATACTACTAGTACTATACACTATTACAGTATTAAGCACTAGTAGTAGTACTACTACTATAACATCAATTGATGATAATATTCACTCATACATTAAATCTCTTAGACTATTACACTGATCATTGCCTATAAATTGAATTATAAACCCCTTTATATTAAATACATTACAGTATATTATACATTGAAATAATATATTTAAAAAAAAATTGTTAGTTATTTTACACACATATACATAGATAACTATTAGCAAACATAGTATAGTAGTAGTACTAATCATAACAATGATACTCATCATTGCCAGCAAAACAAAACTTTTTTTTCAGTGCAAATAACACAATGACTATAAATTATTTTGTTATTTAGTTAGTTTTTTTTATTTATCTCAAATAAATAACTTAATATAGACATTGACGATAGGCAAGTTGGCATACATTAGCACCACCACCAACAAAAAACAGGCTACCGGTGCCGACTAAATGTCTTATTATTATTATTGACCGGCAATTACTTATATATACTGTACTCTCCTATTAGTTCATTACTATTAGTCTCTCTATACCTCTCTATTAACAAAACATTTAATATCAGATAATTACCTGTATTTTTATGATAGAGAAAAATAAGAGGCATTTTTCTATTCATAAACTATTTTATATTATATTATTATTATTATTATATAGTATATGATGTACCAGAAAAAAATCATATATAATATAATATATATATATTTTTTTATAGTCTCATTGCACACGCATATACATACACACACATAAACATTATCATTAGATACTATATAGATATATATATATATATATATATATATATATATATATAAGTTATATAATATAACAATTTAATCCATTGAATACCTGATACTTTAACTTATATTTTCAACAAAAAAAAACTATTAGGAGTATAGTGTGTATACAGTAGTTATTTATTGCGATAATATCGTCGCTTATATTTAACTTTAAAAAAAATTAATGTTTATTACTATACATTCACAGAGAGAGAGAGAGAGAGAGAGAGAGAGAGAGAGAGAGAGAGAGAGAGAGAGAGAGAGACTATAGTTTATAAATTATTTTTTAATGTCTTTTTGGGCGCACTTTAACACAATTGTGCCATAAATATAGTTTTTATGTCATTTATATACAACAACAACACATACACAACAACAACATTATTATAAATATACAGATTGTGTGTTCACTTAAATATTTTTCTCTCCCATTCAAAGTTCAGTTAAACTTTTTTTTTAAAAAAAACTATATATAATATACTATAATATGATATTATTATTATTATATGATAGTTATGAAACAAACGCGGCATTCATTAAATGGGAAACTGATTATACACTATGTATAGCATTAGAGCGTCCAATGATTTAGTTATTATTATTATTATTATGATTAGTATTATTATTATTATTATTTGTGTATTAAGTTAGAGAGCGCTCAACCATTTTAATAACACAGTGCTCTCTCTCTCTCTCTCTCTCTCTCTCTCTCTCTCTCTCTCTCTTACTATTAAAAATCATGAGAGAGAGAGAGAGAGAGAGAGAGAGAGAGAGAGTACTGTATTTAAAAAAAATAATAATAATATCAGAGAGAGAAAAAAGAGCCGCTGTTTTATATATAATATAAAAATTAAAAAAAAATTATGAAAAAAGAGAGGTTTGAATCACTTTAGAGAGGATCACTTCTCAGACAATTTATTATATTTGAGCCGAAAAACTATAGCCGCGAGAGAGAGGAAGAGAGAGAGAGAGAGAGAGAGAGAGAGAGAGAGAGAGAGAGGAAAGAGAGATGAGTTAAAAATTTTATAAATATATATATATATATATAGTATTTATATGATGAGCATAAATAAAGCCGCGCTGTTTAACATTATTAGACGGTATGTATGTATGTGTGTGTGTGTGTGTGTGTGTGTGTGTGTGTGTGTGTGTATGTATGTGTGGAAATGGTTAATATGTTTTTTCAATTGACGGTGAGATCCGACAAATAATAATAATAATAATAAATAATATAAGTATTAATATAATAATTAAAGAAACGGCTATTCATTTATTCATTGCTGTGTGAATACTATTAATATATATATATATATATATAAATTATATACACTTTATTACCGGTATATTTAGTATATGTATAATAATTTTTATAATTTGTTATGAGTTAACTCTATCTAACAATTGTTTAATAATAATAATAATAATATAATGACAGGTAATAATGATTTTTATTTTATTATTATTGAAGCGAGTTTTGAATTAGTAGTATATAATATATATATATATATATATATTAGTATTAAATTTATAATATATATATATATATACATTATTTTCAAATGTCATACACAATTATAATACATAAATAATATAATATTATAATAATATGTGTATCGCTTAGGCTATGTATTAAACAAAACAAAATTATTTTTTATATTAGTTTTATAATTCAATATATAATCCTTGGTTTATAACCACACACTTATACACAGAATTAAAAAAAGGGGAAAAAATACATATATATATATAATATTAATTTATATTTTTCAAGTATTATTATTTATTTATTATTATTATTATTATTAAATAAAAGCCATCAATAATCAAAGTTGGCAATTATTATCTCATTTTTATTATATGAATATATATATATATATATATATCTCACTAACTCTCTCTCTCTCTCTCTATGTTTTGTTTCACTGATTTGTATGTATATTCCCAAGTGATTGCACGCACAGGTATGCATTAATAATGCCGGTTCTCTCTCTCTCTCTCTCTCTCTCTCTCTCTCTCTCTCTCTCTCTCTCTCTCTCTCTCTCTCTCTCTCTCTCTCTCTCTCTCTCTCTCTCTATCACTCAATAACCCTGGCTATTATGTATGTATGTAATATACTATGCATGCATTTTCTATATACTATACTATACTAAATAGATTTTTGATAGCCAGTAGCCAAACAACAATCGCCACCGATTTTTCCGCTTATTTTTTTTTATTTGTTTCGGGATTATTAGTATTATTATTAAACAATTTCATAGTATGCCTGTATCGAGGTTTTAGGTGTACGTATGATTAGGCAATAGGTTTTCAATGGTGTGTGTGTGTGTGTGTGTATGAAATTTATTTATTAGACACACAATCATCATTATTATCATATAATCAATAATATTGTTTATTATTATTATTATTATTATTATTACCCCCAGTATTAACAAAGTGTTCAGTCAAATACTAAACAACCAAAAAATTACAACAACAACAAAAAAGTATTGAATAAGTAATAGACAATAATATTCATTCAATAGACTATAACTTATATATATATATATATCGTTATTATTATTATTATTATATTGAGAGGTCTTAATAGCGAAATGAATAGGAAAAACAAATGAGAGATCAGATGAGCGCTCAATCATCTTATGGATGGTAAGGCATGTCATACGTGTGTGTGTGTGTGTGTGTGTGTGTGTGTGTGTGTGTGTGTGTGTGTCTATGTGTTAGTACATTAAAAAAAGATTTATATGTATGTATGTGTGTGTGTGTGTGTGTGTGTGTGTGTGTGTGTGTGTGTGTGTGTGTGTGTAACTGAGCGCACTGTTAGCCGGCCTTAACACTCATACTATACAGTAATAACATATTATTTGAGACCAATTTGAGAGTCCCTTTATATTTAGTAGTATTTTTCGGTGACTGCCCTCTAATCAAAAATATAAAACTTTTAACGCAATACACAATTTCCCAAACACTTTAATAATAATAATCATAATAATAATATCATATATTATATCATAGCAGCAAATAAATTGTTTGATTGTATATTATATTATATTATACAAAATGTTAAGCTATTTTTTTGTTGGGTAGTTAGTTAGGTTGTAGTGAATCACATATATATATATATATATACTGTACTATCATATAAACTATAGTACCTATAGGTGTCTTAAATTGGGCCGAAAATAAAATACAGTAATAATAATAAACAGTTTCTATGATCATCACATGTGCCGTCATTTAATTCATCAAAAAAAACACAAAAAACAAACAAAACTTAATTTTATTACGAAAATTAAATTTCAATTGAAATTTTAAGTTTTTTAATATTAGTTTAGTTATTATTATTATTAGTATTACTATTAGGCCCGCAATGAATACTATTAGTAAATATTTGCTTATTTTTTTATGTTTGTCTGGAAATGATTTACAGATAATTATTATGAAAAATGAAATTCAAAATTTTTGTAGAAATATATTTTAAATATTTAATTATCGCTTTTTCTTGAAAAAAAAATTAGTTAACAGAGAGAGAGAGAGAGAGAGAGAGAGACAGTCATTAAATAATTTTTTGTTTTTTAGGTATTCAAAGAAACTGATTGTCTGAACCCAATAGTCGCGTCTCCTTTTGATATCATATATAGTTTTACTCTCTCTCTCTCTCTCTCTCTCTCTCTCTCTCTCTTTCTCTATATATATATATCATACATCCCATCATTTTTTTTTAATATTTTGGTAATGACTATATATTCTCTCTCTCTCTCTCTCTCTCTCTCTCTCTCTCTCTCTTAATGATAATTATGTGAAAAAACCCTCCAATTTTCTGGCGATAACTTTTAACGATAAGCGATATATTTATATATATATATATATATATATATGAAACCAATTAAAAAAAACAGTAAACTGCAAAATACATTATATATATATAGTTATATAACTTACAAACAACTAAATTGATTGTTGTTGTTGTTGTGTATAGTATACTATACTTTTAGTATAGTACTATATTTTTTGAACTAGTATATCATGAATATAGCTAATTAAGCCTAAAAAAATGTTTGAAAAATTATTATATAATAAACGCCTTTTATTGTGTATATATATATACATATACAGTGTGTTCATAAAACAATTATAGTTTACACACAATTAATAATAATTATATATAGATTTTTTTTTGTGGGGACACATAATATACTTGACTTAATTAATTACCAATTAATTTAATAATCAATAATATATCTAATGATATGATATTTATTTATATTTTTTTTTGTCTCTCTCTCTCACCCACTCTATCTGTCACCCACTCGTCGGCCGCAAAGCAGACGTATGTTTCCGACTATTCGGTGTTCATTTGTCGGCATCGAATTGGACGCCCGCTATGCTGTCCTCATCGATATCGTACCCGTCGATAACAAACGCTACCGCTATGCCTATCATCGTAGTTCATGGCTAGTGGCCGGCAAAGCCGATCCGCCATCACCGGCCCGATTGTATACCCATCCCGACGCTCCCTACACTGGGGAACAACTGCGCAAACAAGTCGTATCGTTTGAAAAAGTCAAACTAACCAACAATGAAATGGATAAGAGTGGACATGTATGTCAATTATTATTGTTATTATTATTATTGTTTATTACATTTCTATACCTATTTAATATATACACCACTTTATATATATATATAGGAATTAGTAATTATTTTATATAATTTTTTGTGTATTTTTTTTTAGTTATACTTTAGTATAGTGTGTAGTGTAGTAATAGTTATTTTGTTTAATAATTAAACATAATTTTTTAAAAATTAACTATAGTTTATTATTAATATTATTAGTATATTTAACACTTATTATTACAGTATATATATATATTAGTTATTAGTTATTATTATATATTAGTTGTTAGGTATTAATAAAAGTTTTCAACAATTAGTAACTTTTTAGTAGTTTTTTTTATAAATATTATTGAATTATTATTTATTGATTATATAAATTAATGTTTAAAAAATTTATAATTTATTTATATATATATTTATATATAGATTGTATTGAATTCAATGCACAAATATCAGCCGCGAATACATTTAGTTAAACTGAGACCCGATTATCATTATAATGGAAACAATGTTGTCATCGATAATATAGAGACCCAACAGTTTCGGACGTTTGTATTTCCCGAGACTGTCTTTACGGCTGTCACTGCCTATCAAAATCAATTGGTTTGTATTATTATTATTGTTTTTATTATTATTATTTTTGAATAAATTTTTGTTGTATTTCATTGTATTCATGTAGTAGTATATGCTATAATAGATTTCAATTGTTTTTTAATTTACATTTTATTTAAATAGATAACAAAATTAAAGATCGATAGCAACCCGTTTGCTAAAGGATTTCGTGACTCGAGTCGATTAACAGACCTGGAAAGGTATGAAATGTAAATATAAATTTTGATTTTTTATTATTATTATTATTTTTATTTTATTAAATTTATATATATATATATAAATTAAATCTATTTTATATGTCATTTATTATATATATATAAAAACTTTGTGTCGGATTTTCTATGTGTGTGTGTGTGTGTGCACTGTCTCACTGTGTGTGTGTTCTCTCTCTCTCTCTCTCTCTCTCTCTCTCTCTCTCTCTCTCTCTCTGTATGTGTGTGTGTGAGTGTGTGATGATTATGTGTAGAGAAATAATTTAAGTAATAATTTTAGTGCACAACTGAGAGAGAGAGAGAGAGAGAGAGAGAGAAATATGTGACTATTACTGTGTGGTCTCCATGTGTGTGTGTGTGACTATATGTGTATCTATATGTGTGGGTACAGTACCCTACACTGTACAGCACTTTATATTATGTATCCTTTTACCCGAAACCCTGTGCCAGTACTTTAGAGAGAGAGAGAGAAAAAAAATCCATTGCATATGTAATATAATCTCTCTCTCTCTCTCTCTCAACAATTTTTCTTATATACCGTAAGTCATGTAATTGACAGCACCGGGAGATTATGAGCGCTGAGAATGAGAGATGAGAGAGAGTCTGGAGAGTGACTGACTGAGAGAGAGAGAGAGAGAGAGAGAGATAGTATAGTCATCTCTCACTCTGTTGTTGTGCTGATGTGTTATATGTTTGCGTTGAAACTCATAGTTAGGTTATATTATTAGCCAAAAAATTTTTATTTTATTTTATTTTCAGGGAGTCATGAGTAGTGTAGTACTGTATCTACTTATACTATATATATATATATATATATATATATATATATATATACTGTATATATGTCTGACAATTTAGACTCAAAACAAAAAATTTTTCAAATATATAAATAAAAAAATTTTTGTGTAGATTATTGAATCTATGGGTTTTTTCTCACTAACAAAAAGTGCATATTTTTTAAGTATATGTAATGTAATGTTAACACAGTATAGCACACATACAGTATTTATAATTTGAAAAAATATTAGCAATAAAAAAATAGCACCCATTATATTATGGGTGATAATTTCACTAACAATTTAAACTATCACTACTATATATATATATATATATATATATATATATAGTTTTTGGAGGGGATATACTGTTTATAAGCTATAGATAATGATAATATTATAAATTTATAAATAAAAAGTCAATTAGATGTGAATTTCCCGGCATTTCATGATAGTATATATATATATATAGTACTGTATATTAGATACTATAATATGTATTATTAATTTGAAAAACAATTTGTTTCAAATTGTGTAATAGTTTTATAGACAATATATATACAGTATAAGCACTTTATTATATATATATTATATTATATTTTTTTTAAAAATACAGCCTAACATATAATACATAACAATAGTTTATATATATATATTTTATAATAAAGTTATTTTACAGTATTATTATCTCACTTATTGTTTTTTGTGATTTTTAAACTTAAGCCACACATATATATATAAGACATATGATATAAATATAAATGTGTATTAAAAGTCATTATATAATATATATATATATATATATATATTTAAAAGTTTGTTGATTGCGTGACATAAGATTTTATTATTATTTTTTAAAAAGAAAGTTTCAAATTAATGAAATATATATATATACAAAACACATCACACACACACACACACACACACACACACACACACACACACACACACACTCAACAACACATATGAGTTAGACTATTATAGTGAGGCACTAAATATTTTCATTTATCAAACCCTATGTTCATCATTACAAGTAATCAATGGCTCGGCTTATATACTATACTATATATATATTACATTGCATTGTAAACTAAACTAAAGTAAGTTAAGTGTGTGAGTGAGTGAATAAGTGACTGACTTTATGGTGTGTGTGTGTGTGTGTGTGTGTGTGTGTCAGCTAAGAGAGAGAGAGAGAGAGAGAGAGAGAGAGAGAGAGAGAGAGAGAGAGAGAGAGAGAGAGAGTGAATCCGGCGATACGGTTGGATTGGACTGTATTTCAACGATCTCTAACAAAAAATGTTGTGCGACCAACAAAATACCAGTGCTGTATATATGTATGTGTATGTGTGCGGTAGGTCGGGTGCTTATTGCTTATATATATATATATATAGATATAGCTTACCCAACAAAATTAAAAAGCTGCTACTATTAAGGTCGGACGGGTGAGGGGGCACCCGATATGCCTTACCAAACATATTGATGCTTGACTTTGGCACAAATAGTTTATTTTTTTTTAGTTTGTTGGCCACAAATATATCATATATTCATCTGATATGATATGATGTGGTGTTGACCGACACTTTGCTGTTGTACTGGTAGATGATATGCTTGTTATTTAAGTGTATAATATTTGTGTAAACCTTATGTTTGTTTATATACTATACTTTAATCTCAAACTACTATCTCAACAAACAAAAAATCAGATCATTATATAATATTTTTTTTCTCTAAACATATTTTGTTTGTTTATTATTTATTATATATATAGAGAAACAATGGAAAGCCTAATGGGCGACAACTGTATGTATCCGAGGCCAGGGATGATGCCGGCAATGATTCCCTCGCCCTATATGTTCAACACTGACGACCACACACAGGCACTGCTAAGGGAACGGGCCTTATATTCAGGCCTAATGTCTCAGTCATCGGCAGCCGCCTCGCAGCTGATGAGAGGTATGGGTATCGGTGTCGGCGGTGGTGGTGCCGGCGGTGGACAGCCAATGATGTGGAGACCGCCGCCAGGCATACCCAATATGCCCAACGATTTCTATAACCTGATCGCTGCCTCGGCTGCCGCCTATCCGGGCCTATACTCGTCGGCAGGCGCTTTCGGTCGCGGACCGCCACCACCGCCGCCGCACCAATCGGCGGTAACTTTGGCCTTAACATCGCCGCACATGTGGCCAACAGTCACGCAAACACAGCCAACAGGTCAGCCATCATCAGCAGCACAACAACTACCTCTCGGTCTCACTAATAATAATAATAATAATAATAGCAGTAAAAAGCCTTCCGATATTAATTAATTAATTAATATTTATTGTTATTATTTAATTTTTTTTATAATTATTATTATTACACACTATAATTATTTGTAATTTATTAGTAATAATAATAATGTAATAATTCAAATGCAATATATATTTTTTTATTTTGCATTTTTTGTTGTTGTTGTGTTATATTGTATAACTTATTATATATAAAAAAACAATATTAATGAAAATAATTTTATTTATAATTAAATTATATTTATATATCACATGTTAGTTAAAGTAATAATAATAATAATAATAATAATAATAAAGTTAGTCATTTATTTCACCATTTTTTTAAAATGTGAATTTTATTGTATAAATATTTAACTTAAAATAAAACTATTACTATACTATTACTACTACATGTTATAATAGCTAACATTTAAATTATTTGATTGACACAATTGTTTTATTTTTTGTTGTAAATTATTGCAAATTGTTAACTAACTAGTAGTATAATAACTATAAATATGATGAAAAAAATAATTTATTGCATTTTTTTTGATAAAATATATTTGCACTCAATTATATATAAATATGAAATGTATGATAATATTATTATTATTATTACTAAATAATAATTTTTTTCTATTGATAATACTGTAACAAAACTATTGGTATTTTCCATTAAAAATGTTAGTTTAATTCACACACAAAAAAATTATATATATATATATATATAAATCATATTTCAAATTAATTATAATAATAATAACAACAACAAAATATCTCACATATTATATATATAGATATTGTATATAAATATTATTTAAAAAAAATATATATATTAATAACTAACATATTTAATGAAGTGTAGATTTTTATTTTTTACAAATATATTGTATAATTATATATTAATAATAAATACGTTAAATTGCAAATAATAATATTAAATAAAATGTTTGATAGAAATGTTCACATTTTTTTAAAAATAAAAACTAATTTATTATACAATAATTTAATAATAATAATAATAATAATAACAATTGAATGTTAGCTCTCATTGTTTTTTTTAAATAGTTATTTAATTAGTTTATCAAAATAAAAACTATAATATAGACAAAAACATTATTATTACTATTATTGTTGACAATAATTATATTTACATACATTATATATATATATAATAATAATAATAAAAAAGTTTTGTCTATTTTATTAGTATTAAATAACATTATAAACA